AGAAATGTGCAGCTATGTGGCATGTCAGTTGCAGATGTCGGCTTCAATGACTCGAGAAATGGAAGGTTGTGGGTGCGCGACGACCCCACTAGCAGAGTTAAATTTGAAATCTTTTAGTCTCACATGAGTAGGAACATTCCCTTAAAATTCTAGCCTTCAAGCTTTTCTCGCTCCCGATTTAGCAATTTCCTCGCCAAAACTTTCACGTACTCGTATGTGAAACACGAACGGTTTCTGAATTTGAAATCTTTGGTCGTGCGTTGGTAAGGAATATTCCCCTAAAGTTTCAAGTTTCTAGCTTTTCTCGTTCCCGAGTTAGCAGTTTCCCCATCAAAATTTTCACGTGCCCATACATGAGTTCCAGGCCGTTGAGTTGAATTTGAAATCTTTTGGTCATGTACGAGTAAGGAACCTAAAGTTTCAGCTTTCTAGCCTTTCTCGTTCCTGCGTTAGCAACTTTCCCGCCGAAACTTTCAAATGCCCGTACGCGAGACGCAGACGTAAGTGGCAGTTGATATCACGTTTCTAGGGTCACACTTGGTCAGGGAACACACTGCAAAATTTCAGCATCAAAGCTTGCGTGGTTGGCGAATAGAAACACTCGGACAGGCGAATACACCCAAACAAACACATACACACAAACAAACACGCACACACAAACAAACACATACACACATAGAGTCGCCGCAATATGCGTTTTTGCTGCCTGTTTGCAACGCTCTATCGCTGCATGGAAAAAACGCATAAAGGGCATTTGCTGCGCAGTGGTGGAAACACGCATGATCTCCGTTTGCGAGGATCCGCATCAGCTTGTGCTCCTTTAAGGCCGTCCGGGCGGTCGTTCTGCTTAATAAGATACCATTTCACTGATACATAATTTTCATCAGTTATCGACAGGCGGCTCTGGTTATCTCGTTATTCATGTCAGTGGTGCACAAATTTCAGTTTCAGATCGAGCATCATCTATTTCCAACATTACCACGTCCGAATCTCCACCAGGCATCAATCCGAGTGAGGAAGTACTGTGAACTGAATGGTCTACCGTACATGGTAGATGACTACTGGACTGGATATCTTTTAATACTGGATCAGTTAAAGAAAATTGCCAGACTGGTAACTAAAATGGCATACGCTCGTCATCAAAACCTATGTGATTGATTGAAAACTGTGTGGCGTGTACTTAACAAAACACGTAAAACAATTTTTCAATTCAACGTTCACTGTATGTTGCACCTATCCAGCAGATTTCACACTCGAAAATTTGAATCAAAGGATAAATTTAGAATTTTACAACGAGCCACTGAAGTCACTTCCGCGGAGAGGATCCTCAGTCCGTAGTCATTGGCTCACATACTTTTCC